TTTTTTGAACACAGGTTAGCTTCGGCAGTCAAAAAAAAAAAAAAAACACACACACACACACACCCAATCCCCACTGTCGAACGACAACCTATAACCTACCGATTGTCTGAAAGGTTGTAGGGATGTACCTCTCAACAACCACACACGGTGTCGATTCCCAAGCACCGGATACCAGCACCCGCCGCTTACGCCAGGTCTTTTGCGAGCTTGGCACACCAACCACAAAGTGCCCTCGGTGACCGGCTTGCAGACAATTCGACTGCACCCACCCTCCCTGGTCCTCGCCCTTCGCCCTCATCACACTATACAAGTGGGAGAACTGCTCATAGCTCAGCTCCCCCTCCCCAGCTATACCGAAAGTGGTTATGGTACCGAGGAGCGTAATCCAGAAGTTTGGATTAAACCGTCCGGGTGCATAGCTGATCTGTGCCAGGATCTTCTGCGCCGAATGTCTCAACAGCAATCGGAGTCCGTGCTTGAAAACATTGGTGAAGAAGACTGCCTCGCCATCCGGATCGCTCAGGGACTCCATTGGCTTGAAAACATTGGTGAAGAAGACTGCCTCGCCATCCAGATCGCTCAGGGACTCCATTGGCCCAGGGATCACTACCGAATCCGGAATGTGATACTCAGCCCGAATCTTGGCCAACTCCCATTCGGTCAAAGCATTCGGCTCCAGAAAGTCCACACCGAAAACGGGACCCTTTGACTTCGCCATCGGCACTCGCTGCCTTCCCGTAACAACAGTCAACACCCTCTCTCCTGGCGCAGCAATCGACACCTCCACCGCCTCGGCTCCGCGACCGGATGTCGAAGGCTCACCACCTTGAGGCCTCAAACGAGAAGTGCCCCGGCATCGGTAGGCACCTCTGTATGTTCTAAAATTTCAACATCGGTGCTCTCGGAATTAGCAGTCTCAAGCTCTGGAACGGAGCTTTCCGAAGACGACTCTCCCTCAAATGCCCCTCGTCTATCACTATACTTCGACTCTGTATCTACATCTACAAACAGAGGCGAATGGAAACTAAATGCCATGCCAAAATCAACCTAAGATCCTAGATGCTAAAAAGCTCATGCTCATCTACGTTCACACAACAATTGAAGACATGCCACCAGTTTGATTCATCGCCTCCGTGAAACACTTACCGAAAATCGCCTGCGCCGTCGCACTACATTCGCTGGAAATCGCCTCTCTTAAGCTCTGTTTGCTCTCCAAAATTCCAAGTACCTCTCTTACCGTCCTTTCCTCCTACTTATAGGACGAACCTTGCATCAGGAAACGAAATGACGCGACCCCTCGAATCCCTCCCAACACGTGTCACCCATGCACAGGGAAGCCTAAGAGTCGAAACGCCCAACCTGAAGGGACGTTTCAGAATCTCAGATTTTTCAACGCACGAACACCATCTACGAATGGCAGGCACACCTTGGTCGAGTCATCCTTCACCCCTTGTGCCGAACGATAGGCACACCTTGGTCGAGTCATCGCTCACCTCATGTGCCGAACGACAGGCACACCTTGGTCGAGTCATCCCTCACCCCTTGTGCCGAACGATAGGCACACCTTGGTCGAGTCATCGCTCACCTCATGTGCCGAACGACAGGCACACCTTGGTCGAGTCATCCCTCACCCCTTGTGCCGAACGATAGGCACACCTTGGTCGAGTCATCGCTCACCTCATGTGCCGAAC